CCCTTGAGTTTTTAGCAAAGACCAGCTTAGGAGTACCCTAATTAAGTTAATAATAATGGACCTACCTGTATAGTTTAAGTTTAAAAAATTTGGCTCTCAAAAGAAATTACAATCATTGTACTGTTGATATTTGGCTCTGTTGACTAATGAGTTTGCCGACCACTGCCTTAAGGAAAACCATTGGTCCTTTCCACAGAACACATCACATTCCCCCTAAGTTTGATTCAGCATAGCAGCCAAGTTATCTGAAATGATTTGCACCATTTTATCCTATTTGTTGCCAAATTTTATCCACAACCATTTTTTTACTCTTTTTCTTTACTCCTGACATTCCATTGCATTTCTATCTTACAACTTCCTGTAATTTTATACATTTTTATTTGGAAACTAGCGTCCCTGTGCACTGACTCATGCACATTGAAAGGAAATTAATTAGAAGGTGACCGGTGGGGCAAGACTGGGCAAGACAGGCCGGACATGCCCTGGAGCCAACCTCCCACAGTCCCTCCCTGGTTTGAAGGGAATCTTCAGGGTGAGCAATCCTTCATCGTGGCCTGCGGGGTTGGGACCGAAATTGGCTCTCTGACATCCCCCAAGGGGTCCCAGATTGAGAGAGGCCAGTTCTCAGGGGACACACCCCGGAATTGGGCTTCCTCCTCTCTGGTTCTGGTGTGCATCACCCAGGATCCACTGCTGCCAATTCACTGCAGCTCTGCAGCTCCTGCATTGAGCCTCTGCCCCCTGGTGACCACTGCCCATCAAAGCTACCGGGCAGATGGTTGGACGGTCACTTAGCCTTTTCTATATATAGATAATGGTATAGGAGCATTGTTCCATAAATAAAATATTGAAAGACAGCTTCTCTGAGAACATGAGCACTGTGTCTCCTGCTGTGGAAATACTTATGAGGAGTACAGATTCATCTGTGAGCTCCTGTGTTCTATCCCATGTTTACTGGGTTCCATGCCTTTTGTGTTGTGGGTATTTTTTCATCTACTCCTTTTTGTAGAGCAGACTTCTCCCTGCCTCTGAGGGACAGAACATTGCAGATCAACCTTTTGAAGATCTGCATTCAGGAATATCTCTATTTCTTTCTGCTAACATGGTAGTGAGCTTCATGTAGGATGCTGGTCCTGGTCACTGACAGTTCAGAACCTCTGAAGTGTCAGTGTCCCTCAGTGGCTCCCAGTCTAGTGTGAATTCTGTTTTGTTCCCATCCTTGCCTGTGACACGTGTGTCTCCTCCTGAAAGGAGCTCCTTCCTTAGGGCCTTGTTCCAATGAGGCGCACAGAGGTGTCTGATGTGGGGAATGAGTGTCTATTCCAACTCCTATTCTCATTTTAATGTATTTTTCTTGATGTCAGAGAGGAAGGGAGAAGGAGAGAGAGAGAACCATCCATGATGAGAGAGAATCTTCGATCAGCTGCCTGCTACATGCCCCCTACAGGGTATCGAGCCCACAACCCAAGGGCCCAGACCAGGAATAGAACCGTGACCTCCTGGTTCCTAGGTCAATGCTCAACCCCTGAGCCGCGCTGGCCGGGCCCATTTCATGTTCCTCACTGTAGGGAGATTTGCTTGATGTGTTTCTTTGGTGACTTTCTTTCCACCTGGACTGCTCTCATTTTGCAATCCTGTTGGTTGGACCTCCTGAATGGCAGCCTTACCATGCTGTTGTTTCCCCTCATATTTCTGGACTCCTAGGCCTTGTTACACTATTCTGCTCTGTCTTCCAGATGCTTTATATTTTTCCAGCCATTGTATATTTTTTTTCTTTGTCCAGAGCAGCTTGTTTGACTTTGAATGTTTATTCCCCTTGAAGACAGCAGCGGAGCTCGGTCACCGAGCTTCCTGAAGACCCAGGAAGGGCCCCATGGGAGAGCTCTTCCCGGCCCCGAGGGTTGGAGCGGTCTCACAGAACACGGGTCCAGGAGCAGCTTGCCGGCATCTGTCTCTCTCTGTTTGCATGCCATAGACACCTCAGAAATGCTGGTGGTCTGGGAGAGAAAAGTGGAAGGGAAGGAGAGGAGGAAGGCAAGGTGTTGGCTGGAGCAGAAGGGGAGATTCTGATGTACCCACAGGCCTGAGGAGACTGCTTTCTGAACGTGACACTCAGCTCCTACTCTAGGAAGCGAGTGGACAGCGGACATGGCCTGACCGGAGTGTGGACAGCCTGGAGGGTGCACCGGGGTGGGATGCAGGCCCTGCTCCCCATTCCGGGTGTCCTTGCGGCGCCTCTCAGAGCCCTCAGCTGTGTGGGGCTTTCCTGTGTGTTTGGTGGAACATACACAACATAGCATTCACCGTGTTCACCTCCTTTGCATGTAGCATCCACTGGCATTGCTGCATGCACCGTCCTTATGTCACCTCTGTCCATCCAGATTCGGCCCAAACAGGGGCTCCCCAACAAACAGACACCTTCCCTCCTCCAGCCCAGCCTGTGCAGCCTGGGGGCCCTTCCCCCATGGCCAGATGGTTAGGGCCCGGGTCTCTCAGTGGCAGAGCCTGGGAGTGAGGCTGGACCTGCAGCTGTGAGGCTGGCAGGGCTGGGAGGTTAGGGAGGGGGGTGACCAAGGGCAGGGTCCCAGGCACCTGAAGGTGGGAGCTGCTGACCCTTTGGCACTGGGGGCTGCCCTACTAGGTGGGGAGAGGGAAGGTGAGGTCTGGGGACCATGTGGGCTCTCTCCACAGAGATCCCCACACCTTAGTCCTGGGCAGGGCAGGGGCATCTCTGCTTTTGATTCTTCCTGGTGCTTTCTGAGAGGACCTGAGGCTGCAGGGGCCAGGGGAGAACTTCGTTCATCCCATGTCCAGTGGGTGACAGTCTGTGGTGTCCTGTTCGGTGAGGTTTCAGGATCAAAGGAGGGGCTGACACACAAATGAGAATGCTATACAAGAAATACCAATGTGGAAGGCATGGGGGTCAGGTGGAAACCTCTTTGGTGACGAGGCACCCGAGACTGGTCCCCTTGCTTTTTATTCACTGTGAAGACACCTTCGCCCTTTAGCAATGCCTACAGCAAATCAAAGGTAAAGTTCGGGGAAACAATGTAAAGGTTATCAGGTCAGAACTCGCCTGGAGCCATGGCCATCACAGCAGGAGCAGAGCTGGAGCTGATAGTGAGCCCTGCTGGCCATCCAGGTCCACTGGCCGTCCACTGCCTCTTTTTGAAGTTACCTGCTGTTGGCTTTAGCCTCGGACAATGGACGACAATGGACTCTCACCTTCCTGGAGACCAGGCTCCCGGACCACGTCCACCCTCCACCAGGGACTGCTTGCTGCTGGCAAACTCTGAGGCAGTTTGGGAACCACAGCAGTGGGCGATGCCATTTGTCCTTGGTGTCATCACTGTCTTCACTGAGTTCTCACCGCCACTCTGCAATGCGAATAGCACATCACAGAAAGGCACAGAGAGGACACATGGCTGACTCTGCCTGTGTGTGCATGTGTCTCAATGTGTGCTTCTCTGTCTGTTCATTTGTGCCTGTGTGCATGGCTGTGTGTGTGCATGGCTGTGTGTGCGTGTGTGTATGTATGGGTCTTGCTCTGCGTACACCACAGGGAGGACTCTGTGTGAAAATGTGTATCTCTGTGAGTGTGGCTGAGGGTAAATTGTGTGTCTGTGTATAAAGGCTTATTTTAGGGGTGAGAGTGAGAGAGGGCTGCGCGAGGGGCGATGTGGAATAGACCTCACAGAGGAGGTCTCCTGTCCTGTGCAAGGGGCAATGTGGAGGCAGAGCGACTCCGACAGGACCAGGTGCGGGGTGTGACCAGCACACCACCTGTGTGAGTGGCATGGAGACAATATGATGGAGCACAGATCTGGGCCGGGCAGGGAGAGGGGGAGGGGGCAGGGACGGGTCCTGCCAGGCCCGGTGTGCAGCACCAGCGGGGGCCTCGGCCCTCCAGGCGGGACCCCAGCCTGTGTCTCTCAGGCTGTGGCAAGAGCTCAAGAATCCTGCGCCCGCCATGCACGGGCGGGAGGCTGAGCACACCCTGGGCTTCGGGAAGGAGGCAGCTGAGTGTGTGTGTTCCCGCTGGGACCCTGCCACTCACTGTGGAGCGTGGGGCATCGGAGAGCAGAAAGCACGGGGGCCTCATGTGCCCTTCTTCGCTGGAGGCGCTGAGGACTCATGGGCAGTCCTCGTCCTGGAAACATGGGGGCCCAGGCCCAGGCTCTCAGGGGCAGAAGGAGTGCCGACCCCCTTCCTGTGGAGGTCACTGCGTGTGGGTGCCCAGGCGCAGGGCAGGGAGGGCAGCTCCGCCCAGGGGCCCGGGCAGCAGCCCTGGGCACAAGCCGGGAGACGATGGCTGTGCAGATGGAAAGGACAGGCTGTGCGAGGGAGGGCCGTGGAGGGGCCACGGGGTGACTCTCAGGTGTCAGGATCAGAGGAGCAGCCCTGGGGTCATCGCCCCAAGTTCCCCACCCTGAGCCCTGGGCGTCCCTGCTTTCCTTGGGGACTTTGCAGCTGCGATCAAGGGGCAGACCACCCTGGGTTTCCAGGGTCTGCGCTCTGCCGTCCCCCACAGGAAGGAGGCCCTGCAGCCCCTGGAGCAGACCAGGCCTGCCATCCACTGCCAGCGGGAAGCCGCCAGGAAGAGCTGGCCCTGGCCTCGGGCAGCCAGCAGGGCCTCTGCACCTGGATCTGGGCAGAGAGACAGACCGCAGCCTCCTGTCCTGCCCCTGGGGAACGGTCCCTGAGCCACAGCAGGCGCTGGACACGAGGCCAGAGCTCTCAGGCGTCCAGCTGGCTGCGTGGGCGCCTCGGGGATGGAGGTGCGGAGCCGGCGTGGCTCATGCAGGCCGGGCTGGGAGCCTGTGCAGGGACACCGGCTGGGCCCGGAGCCCACGGTCCCTCTTGATCCCTGTGGTCAGGCCCCAGGGTCACTGCCCATCGGGTCAGCGCGATGCACCGTTGTCACCTCCCACCGCGCCTCATGATGCCCACTCCTCCCCCACGGCCAGAGACCGGATAAAACAAGACAGGCAGAGACATTGTGCAGGGAAAGTGATTTATTGAAGCAAGACGTTGAAACCTCTGCATTTGCCAGGGAAGGTCAGCCCATCACTGAGAGACAGGGCGCTCATAGGTAAGGTTTACGCAGACTGCTTCTTACACTTGTTTTCGACAATCTTCTATAATAGACCAAGAGAGAGACAGGCTGTCAGTCAGGCTGCCCTGGAGAGGCCACGGGCAGAGTGTGTTCACAACCAAAACCAGAGACATTGCCAGCAGCGGTGGCCCCGGGCATCCGGCGACCAGGGAGCGGGTGGGGCCTCCAATGGTCCCGGGGCCGCGGCCGCAGACACGTCCCCCGGAGCCCCGGCCACGGCCCCGCAGAGCTAGGGCCCAGGAGCGGCCTCTGTGTCTGAGGGAGCCGGGAGGGGGACACGGCATGGAGCCCCCGGGAGGTGCTTTCTCTGAGTCCCAGGTCCCAGGATGGGACTTTTCACTCAGGAGTGGACGCTGGAGTGGGATGTGGAGGGGGCGGGGGCCGAGGGAGGATCTGCTGCAGAGATCTGCAGCCCAGGCGCGGACCTGCACCTGGAGGCACCCTGGCGTGTCCACACAGGGGACACATGCTTAGCGCCCGGCCTCATTAGGGGTGGAGGAACTAACCCCCTCCCCGCTATGTCTGGTTTCCTCAGAGAGACAGCGTGGAGGTCAGCTCCCCCTGTGCCCCCCAGGGCAGCGCCCTCCTCCCGCCTGCCCCTGAGCTGAGCAGCAGTATCGTGCAGAAAGGAGAAGGAAGTTACCACGAAGTGGGCCATCGCCAATCGGTACATTCTGGGCATCTTGTCTACGCATGTCTTCACCTCCATTGCGGCCTGAACAGCTTCTGCAGGTGCCTCAAAGTTACTAATCTTCCGCTGGTATTCCCCTCTGGGCTCCAACAGAAAGCTGTAAATCACCGAATTAAGGGCTGGACAAACTTCCCCTGCATTGGCTGGAGCCGGAGAGAGAGAAACACAGCTGATGTAGGAAGTCACTTTGCCATGCTCTGTGGCCCCAGAGCGAGATAGGACGCAGGGCGGAAAGGGCTCCTCCAGGGAAGTGCGCCTCCCCCGTCCTCATGGCGCAGGCACAGAGCACGCAGGGGGGCCGGGATGGCGCCCAGGGGACGCCCTGGTCACTCTCACTGCACCAAGTGCTCCCAGGGCTTCCCCACATCCCGGCTGTGCCTGTCACTGTGCCTGGGCCTCAGACTCCGCTCTGCCTCTCACACAGCCCCTCCGGCCTAGCCTGGCGCCTGAGCAGAGAGCTGTCAGCCGCCAGCCTTCCCAGGGAAGGCAGAGGCAGGCCCTAGCCATGGGCCCAGAGGGAGACAGCACAGGCGCAGAAGAGGGAGGAGAGCTACTAGGGAGGGAGGAGGTACCAGTGCTGCCGGGCAGAGCCCTGACCACAGGAGCGGGCTCCATCCTGCTGCCTCTGCACCAGCCCTGGCCTGCGTGGCTGCCCGAAGGACCCGCACTTGCCGGCAGTGCTTTCTGTAGAAGTTCCAGACCCCAGGACCTGACACCCCCAGTCCTGGGCTTGGGGGGCTGGTGCCCGGGAATGGGAAAGGTTTCCTTCTGACCCATCCCCCTCCCCATCTACATCCCCGGGACCAGAGAAGGTCCTCCTTGTCTGCGTGGAAGGGACCCTCACCGTTGGGGCAGCAAAGGGCCAGGGTGACCAGCAGCAGAGGCAGGGCCAGCTTCATGGTGTCTGTGGCCGGAGCGCAGCGGAGTCAGCAGGAACCGAGAGGAGCTGGGTGAGCGGCCTGGGAGCCCAGGGCCTTTTGTAGCCAGTGAGCCTCCCGGGTGCCGCCCTCAGGGGACCTGCAGGTGCCAGGCCTGGCTTCCAGCCCAACCTTCCACGGGGAGGGCTGATGCCATCCGTCACGCCATAGCCCGGGGACGTGGTTGGAGCCAGGCCTCGCTGGCACCTGCACGGCTCCCTGGGGCACTGCTCAAGGCGGGAGGGTGGCCAGTGCGCACCCCTCGGTGGAGGGAGCCCCTGGGAGACAGCTCCCTCCTTGCAGCCGGGGCCGCGTTCTCATATCCTCACCCTGGCCTGGCTCAGAGACGGGGTCCCCACGTGTCCCTGTGGGAGAGGATGGACCCCGAGTGCAGGAGCAATCCGCATGGCGGGTCGCGCCTTTGGGGTCCTTGGTGCCCGCTGTGCCAGGGCTGCTGCGGGCACTGCAGGGAGCCAGGTCCGTGGTGTCTGCTTCCCCAGAGAAAGCAGTGCCCAGAGGAAGACGGCCCTCCCACGGCCCCCTTTGGCCTCAAGCGACGGGTCGTAGCCCCCCACGATTTCTGACCCATCGGCACCCACGTGTGCTGGTGGACGCTTCCATGTCAGTCCTGGGGTGGCCCCTGTGGGCATCGGGCCCCAGCAGACGTGCTCGCAGGCCGGTCCTCCGCCTGTGCTGGCCGTGGCAGCTGCTCCATGGGCCAGGGAGGCCGCAGGAACCGGAGAAAGGCCGTGGGGCAGGGACAGGGCCGCGGACCTGAGGCCACGCAGCGTAGGCAGGGTTCCGACCGGTGCCGGGCGTGGGGCCCCGAACATAAGGGACTGAAGGTCTCGCTCATCTGCTCGCCTCTGGGTTTCTGCTCCATCTAGGGTTCTGGCTGAGGGCGACCTCGTTCCTCACTGATCGCCACCTCCTCCTCTGGCAGAAAGCCCCCTGAGGGGCCTCAGCCTGCGGGCTGCGGGCAGCAGGGGCTCGTCCTCATCGCCGGAGGAGACACAGGCTGGGCAGGTTGGGTCCCGCCACCTCGGGTGCTAGCCAGCAGCTCACACAGCGCTGAGGATTCTGGGGTGGCCTGTGGGTCTCTCTTTCAAGTGTGGGACGTTTCCCATGGAGGGGTGCGGTTGTGAGCAAGAGCCCAAGGTCAGGGCCACACTCTGGGGGCCAAGCTCAGCTCTGAAGCTTCCCGCATGGGGGGTCTCCAGCAGGTGCTGCCCTTCCTGCCTCAGTGTCCCCGTCTGTAACACCAGGGGGACCCCATGTACGTGTGAGGAGGCGGGGATTCATCCAGAACAAAGGCTCGGCATGGTGCCTGGCCATCCTCGCCAGCTGTCTAGTTATGCCCCTGAACGGAAAACCGTGAGTGACAGTCACACAGAAGTGGCTTACTTCCTCCCCACGGCCAACACCCGGCGGCCTGACCGCCCGGCCAGGAGGGCGCGGCCTCTCCTAGGGATGCTCGCTCCTATGTGGGCTCTGGATTGACACAGTCACCACCAGCTGTCCCTTCCCAGTCACCTCCCTGTCTGTCCAATGGACACAGGGAAGCCAGGCTCATTGTGACTCTGTGACCTGCACGCGGGCACTGGAGTCAGGGTGCAGGAGGAGGCAGGCGATGGGGATCATGTCCCCGAGGCCCTCGGGGTCTCTGCTCTCCGCCCTCAGCAGGATGCGCTGGCCACGTGTGCCCCTTGGGTCCCAGGGCCCCTCCAGCGCTCAGGCTCTAACCGGTCTCAGGTGCCTGGGGTGGAGGCGCCTCAGACGTCACCTCTGGGTCATGAGGTCCCCGTGGGCTTGTGCCGTCTCCACAGCCTCTGGAGACACGTGTCCCCATGGTCTCTCCCGTCACACACGTCCTGTTACATGTCACAGGACAGAGGTGCCCACGTCACGTCAGACCCTGCAGGCACTCACTCCACAGGTACAACTCTGGCGCCAATCAGCAAGCGTCATGATGTTGGTGGGACTCTGTGACAGTGGCCTCCTGTCCTCGCTTCCAATGAAATCAATAAGGACTCTTAGCTGTGGCTGACAGCTCCTTAAAAATAATTTTAATATATTTTCATTGCTTTCTGAGAGGAAGGGAGAGGGAGAGAGAGATAGAGACATCCATGATGACAGAGAATCATTGATTGGCTGCATGCCCCACAGTGGGCATTGAACAGGTAACCTGGGCAAGTGCCCTTGATTGGGAATCAAACTGTGACCTTCTGGTTCATAGGTCAATGTCAACCACTGCCCCACTATGACAACCATAGAGGCCCTCCAGGGAGGGCACATGGTCGTTTCTTTTCATTGTTGCCAGCTGATACCAAGATGATTGGCAAAGCCGGGTCTAGGATACACATTTCCACAAGATGGCGGCAAGTGTAATCAGCTTGGCCTTCATCAAGCCCAGGTGTCAGCAGGGGCCGGACTAGATATGTAAATCCAAGCATGCTAGGGCCCACTTAAGAATGGAAATAAGTTGGTGATACTTCCTGCTGTTGGGTATAAAATAAATGCGCTGGGAGGGGTCGTGGTCCTAGTCCTCGTCCTTGCAGCCTCTCCATCAGAGAGGAAGGATGGCGTCCCACCCAGCTCCCAGCTTAGAGTCTATCTCTGCATCTTCTCTCTTTCTTTCTATTATTTCCCAATCCCTGGCCACCTCCACTTAGAACCGGTGGTTCATCTCTCTTTCCGTGCGGGATGCTGAGAAGGGGGATCCCCGGACCTTGGGCCCCTGCCTTGGCCCGATAATCTCTTTTGTTAATATTTACTGGGAAAACTACGGTTTTTGTAAGAGGATTAAATTTGATAGTAAAATAGTCAAGTTTTAAGATTAATTTAAAGTGGCTAAATGAAATAAGTGAATACTCAAGAAAATTTAATTATACAAAAAGCTGTTCCTAAAGTGTTAACCAAAATTTCTATTGGTAGTTCATTTCATGGTAAATTTGCTTAACATGCCATGAGCCTAAAGCAGTCATATTTTTGTGCAAAAATTAAAATGTAAAGTTATCAAAACTGCATTATAAGAATTTTCCAAAAGCCTCCTAGTAATTAAATTAAAAAGTGGAGGGGTGGGAAAATACCATGTAAGAAAAAATATCCTGTAAGTAATTTACACCTAGAAAAAAGTTTTACTTTGAAAATTAATTTTCATTTATAATGCTGGTAACAAGGCACCTATGAAAACTCTTATGGTGTCAAAGTAAGTCAAGGGAAAATCATTTGGACAAAAATCAGAAGGATCCCAAGTCTAATTTATAGAAAAGATTTCTTTATGAACCTTTGGTGGAGAATATGTTTATATTTCCAGAAAATTCCTAGACCATATGGATTCCTGCAACAACGGATCCCAGAGAGGACCTGATAGGACTGTTCCAGCCACAGAATAGGCAGTGGTTCACAAGAACAGAGGAGAAATAGTCCAGAAATAAAGATGGTGAAGATGCCTTGCCATGCTAGCAGTCTGCACCTGTGCATTGCTGCAGGTTGCCCAGGACCAAGGGAAAGAAAGGTCAGTGTGCACGCACTTCTATCAAGTTTTGAGAGACCATGTGTGCACACCCTTCTGCATGGAAGTCAAAATGTTTGATGTTTTGTGTTCTACCAGGACCCTGGTGTAGGGGCTTGCTTTATTTCTAACACAGGGAATGGTTATGGCTGCCACATTAAAAGAAATGTTGTCCCTCAGGCATTAACCATTTTTAGAGCTGGATCTAGTTCTGGAAAGGCTGGATCTACTGCAGCAGAAAGTTAAAGGTCCTTCACACCCATTATAGATCAGTAGAAATGCAGGCTCTTATTTATGCCTGGGATACACAAGATGGCGGGAAGTGTAATCAGCTTGGCCTTTATATCAGCCCAGGTGTCGGCAGAGGTGCGACTAGATATGTAAATCCAGGCATGCTAGGACCTACTTAAGAATGCAAATAAATCGGTGATAACTTCCTGGTGTTGGGGTATAAAATAAATGTGCTGGGAGGGGTCGTCATCCTGGTCGTTGTAGCCTCTCCATCAGAGAGGAAGGATGGCGTCCCACCCAGTTCCCAGCTTAAAATCTATCTCTGTGT